GTTCATACGACACCGGTTTTGTGAAGAAGAGGGTTAGGCTGGTTTGAAGAAGGCTTGTATTTCAGTAGCTTGCACTACAAAGTTATCTTTTGATCATGAACTTTGCTGTCCAGTGACTGAAAAATTAAACCTGGAAAACTCCCGGAGTTAAGCCTAAAGAAATATGCACCACCAGTGGAGAGCAATGCTAATGTTTAACTAGCTGAAATAGCTGTTTGCTTAGTGGAGAATGTGTGGTATCTGACAGAAGGGACATCTCTCTTATTAGTAATCAAATAGGGCTGACCAGTTGTTGCCATCACTCTGGGATTGTGTCAGGCAATTGAGAACAAGTTCACCACTTTATAGAACTCCCAAGTACAAAAAAGAAAATCAATATAATTATATTTGTCTTTAGTGTTTTAGCTATGGAAATCATATAGAGCTGGACGGTTGCCTGGCGAGCTGGATTTATTTCTGCTTTATTGGCTAAAAAATATTTGGAAGTGGAGGAATCTTGGCGGCGTAGTAAATGTGAGCCGGCGTGTTACAGCTTTTATTATTGGATTATGGGCATGTTCGTTGTGCAGAGTTTTCAAGAGATGTGTGACTTTTGCAGATGCAAGTGGTGAATTGCATTAAAGTGTGACTGCGCCAGGACGCGATGAAAATTAACCGGGAATGAAGATTAGGATAATATTTTGCTGTTATGTGCTTGGTCGGACTTTAATTTAGAGCTCTGGTCAGAGTGATCATTTCGTGCCTCTTGCATGTACACTGAGAAATGCCCAAGTAGTTTATGTTTATAGTCCATGCAGCACATATAACATTTTTCAGTGATTAGGGATTATAATGATATATACATAATAACATCGCCGCAATCACTGTGAGATAAATTATATCAGCTCTGTGAAGGGTGGTCCTGGCAAAATTGAAGCAAGCTATACAAGATCCCTGCTTTTAGACCTTACCCAAACCATCAGATGTATGTTATCATTTGGTATTCCAGAAGCATGAGGAGATATATATATATAAAAAATAATTTAAAAAAAATATCAGAAAACATTTGGTTAATGGGTTTATCATGTTTATTTGAATAAGGAAGATTGAAACTCCATTTATGCCTAGCATAAATGCTTTAGAGATCTTAATTATTGATGAAAAATCTGCTGCGCTTCTAAATTTAAAGATATGACAATTTTATAGGAATTTTAATCACCTTCTACATTAGGAATTTTCAAGACTGGGTTTTTATGAGGACAGCACATGTATGTTAGCCTTCTGAAGAGAGTTGTCAGTTATCACGTCAAACCAGGGGGAGAATTTGGTTGCACAACAGCGAGGAGGTCGGTCCGACACTCTTCGTCTCAAGATGTGCCTTGAAAAACTGTCGAACGTGATGTTTGCTACCAGCAAACAGCAGCAAAACGTGGGGGCAAAAGCATGGGGGTGAAAAAGCTCTATGGGGCCACCAGTCCCCTGGAACGATCCAAGTGCATTTCAAACCCTTGGTATTTGTGCTTGCTTGAGCCGCCTGTTAATAGTTTGTTGCCTAAATTTGTTGTTGGTGTTGAATTTCGGGTTTGTGTTTCCTCTTGAGCATTCCAGAACAACATTTCTCCATCAAATTTGTGAGTCAATTTACGGTTTCCCATAAGAAGTGTTACCGCTTGGTTAGTTGGCTTAAAAAAAAAAACAAAACCCAACCACAACAGACTTCTACACAATGTGCTCCACTAGATCCTTTTGTCCTTTGGATACATTTAGCAGCTTTTGACCAGATAAGGCATATTTGTCCTCAGGATACAAACCAATAATTCAATCCTGAATTGAGATCTATGGCCACCCATTTGTTCCAGCCCACACTAGGAGTCTCTGTGATCGTCTGAAACGTTTATCGCGCCGGGGAAAAAACAGGAAAAAGATGAACCCTCAACCCCCCACCTTATGCACCTCAGGAATAATAATTTGTTAGCAATTAAGATATTTTAAACAAACTAATGTAATTATACGTCTGAGTCCTGCAGTGGGCTTTAAAGGAGAGGCCTTGGAAGCAGCTTGTGGTGCCTCGTGCCTCTGCGACCCCTGAATTCGCGGAGAATTCTTATTTACGTCGCCTCGCTGTTTCTCACACTGCACAGCTGAGTGTGTGCACTTTTATTACTGTACACATTTAAGTGGCTCCTGGCATATCGGGGCTATTCGTACAGCACAGTAACTCACGGATTAAAGAACAAACCCCCCATAAATTGCAGCGCAGTCAGTAAAAAGATGCCACGGAAAAAGTGTCCCTGGGAAATTAGATTGACCCAAAGAAAAGCAAATAAAAGAAGGGAAAAGGCCCATATTTTCTTTGCGGTGTTGCTGAAAAGGATGGGAGTATCATTTTCATAGTGGAATAATGTTTTCTGGGAAAACACAAAAGCAGATGTTCCTCATTAGGAACACCCATTGTCTACATATCACAACTATGAACAGATAAATCTCTCCTATTTCACCCATACATTCCAAGGGCTGTAAATGATTACAGGATGCCGCTGGAACTGCTAAACCAAAACCACACTCTGCGCTAAAATCATTCCTCGCTGCCACCATCATATATTTCATTAGAAGGTATGGAAATTCCTACTAGCCTCCAGCCTCTTTTTCCTCTCCTTGCTGGGACACCCCGAAAGCTGGGTGTCCACCTCCTGGCCGTGGCACGGGGCAGGGTGACGTGCTGACCCGGCGCCGCGCGGCAGCTCGCTGGCAGCTCGCGCTGCTCCCGCGGTGCCTCACGGCTCGCGTGCTCGGCAGCGGGTTTCCAGATGGTACCATCACAGTCCTACTGCTAGTTGGCATCTCCGTGGGTAGTAAATACCCCCCTCCCCAATAAATCTGGCATTATTCTATAGAGTTTAGGAGACTTATCATTCCAAGTGTGTCCTACTTTCCTGTATGGAAGCCAGACATCTGTTTATCCCATTTCTTTCATACGGAGTTTGGAATAGCTTTAGTTTGGGGGAATAAAAAGTTTTGTCATATTTAACAGCTGTTACAAAATTTCAATCCCGTAGGCTCTTAAAATACTTTTCGGCTGACCTCAGATTTTGTAGATAATAGACATTGCTGGTAGCCACCCCCCTTAACCTCTCCCTGGCTGCAATTTCGGATTATTTTCCTTGAACAAGTTGACTGCTCACTCTGGGGTTTCGTTGCGGCAGCGGTTGTTTTTCTCATCTGTTCGGCTGGGGGGTTTTGGGGTGGGTTTTTTGTTGTTTTTTTTTTTTTCCCTTTTGGTTTTTGACACCAGTGCAGCTCTTTGATTGCTCCCTACCCCAAGTTTACACCTCGGGCAGGGCTGTGGCTGTGGCTGGGGGGGGGGGGGGGGTGTTTTTTTTTTTCGTCAGCAGCGTTTCCTTTCACTTCCCGTCACAAAGGTGAGAGCCGCTGACCTTTGCTGGCAGTCCCGGCCGCTGAATTATTCATGTGATTGACTTTTTGTCAGTGCACACAGTTGTGCTCTGGGACATTTTATTCATTTACCTCATTTAAAGCGCCTTTCTGCACCTGTTCAAGTATTAATATCATGTAATTTGGGCCTAATGCCGATTTTGCTGAACACTCATTATATTTTTTATTAGCTATATTTCCAAACGATTATGTATGATTATTACCAAGCCTTACAAACAGCAATGGGTTATTCCCTAGACCTTTACATCTTCTTGTCAGGTTGTTTTCAGAAGCAAGGAGGATAAACATTTGACCAGTCCCAATGTTTTTATTCCTACTCCATATCCAACCAGAGAACTTAAAGCTTTTTCCCTTATGGCTTTGGGAAAGCATGATTAAATCCAACTCTGCAGAAGCTGTACAAATGCCAGCATTTATAAGGTCAACGCTTTTGTTAAAAATGCTATGTAAATGAGGATCTGCAAAAAGGGACATTAAATAAAATTAAATTCATTGTCTTCTTTAATGTCATTTACATTTTGGCTAAGCCCTGGCCTATCAAGGAGGATTTTTAAAATAATTTTAATTACACATCATTTAGGGATCCAAGGTTTTCTATTCAGTAGCATTTGGATAACCTGCAAAATGGTGACTGTTTATTAACTTCTTAAATGACAACTTGTCATTTCATCTGCATAATGCCATGAAAACAGAGCAGTTTGGTGTCAGT